TATCCTCATTTTACAGTCAAGGAAACTGAGGTAAACAGAGGTTAAGTGACTTGCCCAAGGTCATACAGCTAGTAAGTGCCTGAGGCCACATGTGAACTCAGGTCTTCCTGACTGGAGGTACTCTGACTTCAATATTCAGCATACAACACCCCCTGCTAAATCTGACTTTAATTCAAGCTAATTCAACAAGCATTTATAGATCATAGTGCCAAGTACTAGGCTAAATGCTGGGGATACAACACCCCCCCCCAAAAAAAAAAACCAAAAGCAGAAACCAGTCCCTGCCTTCAAGGAGCTTACTGGGAGAAAACAACATAAATATAGATAAATAAATATGAAATAAGTTTAGGATGTCTTGGAAGAGTTGGTACTCTAGCTAAGCTGCGAGGGGAAGTAAAGACCCCAGAAAGAGGGGTGAGGACAGAGAGAAGGTTCAGCAGCGGGGAAGAGCCTATATGTGGAGGCAAGCTTCACTAGTACACAATCTAGCTCTGGAGTCAGAAGGGCTGGGTTCAAATCCCACCTTGGATAACTACCTGCACAACCCCGGCAGGCCTCAGTCTCCTCAGCTATAAAATGGGAGCATTGGACTGGACAACCTAAAGCCCTTTCCAGTTCTGCACTGATGATTCCCTATGCTCATTCTAAGCCCTCCCAGATGCATACCCTAAGAAAGAGACCCTGGGGTGAGGATTTTCTAAACAAGATGGATGCTGCCCTCATACCCTGGGAGAGTAATGATGAGGTTACATTACCTCATTTGGGCCTTATGACAACCCTGTGATTAAGTGTGGCATTATTACCACCCTCATTTTACAGATGAAGAAACTGAGGCTGGGAGAGATTAAGTGACTTTCCCTGGGGCATACAGCTAGTAAGCTCCAAAGCTGGATTGGAACCTAAGTTTTTCTGTCTCCCAAGTTCACCCAACTCTGCTTGGTGGCCAGGCCAGCCCAGGTCCCAGGCCGAAAGCTCAGTCTGACCTGCCATCGGCTGAAGGGAGGCCCGTAACCACCCCTGACCCTCGCACCCCTCTGGGGAGAGCTGATGTGGGTGCAAATGAGGCATGTCCCCCTCCCCTCTCCTGTCACTCACCCACATCCTGCCCCAGGCTCAGCCGGTCTCGCCCTAGAATGGTGGGGAAGAAGCCCTGCTTGGAGCCGTAGATGCCCAGGCTGGATTGCTGGAAACGGTCAAAGTCGCCCAGGGGCAGGGCCCGGTAGCCAGACCTGCTGAACATGATGCCTGGCGAGGGGGCTGCTCCCAGCCCGCCCTGATGGGCACGACCCACCTGCCTCAAGCAGCCTCCGCTCCGCTCCCTGTTGCTAGGCAATGGGCAGGGAGCAAGCGGGAGATGCTGACAGTCACGCGCCCGACATCAGCCCGGCGATGGTCCAGCAGGGTCTCAGCCCCCCTAAACAGGGACGGGGGCACCTTCCTGGAGAAAGGGAAAAAAAAAGAAAGCAGGAAGATGAGGTCCCTCCTGTGCACGCCACCCAGGGGGCCACCCACGCCCTGAGTCCCTCCCCACTTCTCCTGTCTTCCACCCTCTGCACCTGGGTGAAGCCCTGCCCAGGGGCACCCGCCTCCCTCCCCACCAGGGGCCGGCGGCTTCCTGGTCGGTGACGTCATCCAGGAGCCCGGGCTCGGAGACAGGGGAAGAGGAGGAGCTACAGGAAGCCGCTTCCACCGCCCAGCCTTCTGCTGGCTGACTGCGTGCTCCCTCTAGCCCGGGAGGACCCGGCTGGGGCAGCCCGCTGCCAGGCGGGGGAGTGCCTGCGCCCTCCCCGACCGTGAAGGTGCTTAAGGTGATACACCCAGATCCCCAGAGATCCCAGGCATCCAGACCAGGATGGGGGGCCGGGGGGGGGGGGGGTCAGGGGAAAGGGAGAGACTGCTCTCAGGACTGGTTCTGTCTTCAAAGGAAAATCTGATAATAATGGAAACCTTTTAAAATGCACATATGGGGGGAGGCGATACACAAACATTTATAATAGTGTATGTTACGTTATTGTAAAATTAAATAAAACGCGCGAGTTATTAATTGGATAAAAATCTCATTTTAAAATTTCATATATAATGAATTTTGTACATTTAATAGTATATACTGTATACATGTATCATATGCGTGATTTATACATATATACATTTATATATATTTATACATGTAGGAGTTATTAATTGGATCAAAAAGTAAAAATTTTTAAATGCTTATAATAGTGTATTTATTACATACATACAAAATCAAATAAAGTGTAGAAGTTACTAATTGGACCAAAACGCAATTTTTAAAAAGTCTTACATATAATGAATTTTATACATAAAGAGTACATTATATATGTGTATAAATATATACATAGCCAAATAAAAGGTAGGAGTTATTTACTTAGACCCAAAAATACAATTTTAAAAAGCCATATATGTAATGAACTTTAACCATAAATAGTATATATATAGTGCATATTATATATGTATAATATCAAATAAATGCAATTTCAAAAATTTATACATATGAGTTATATATAACAGTATATTATTACATATTATATACATATAATAAAATGAAGTGTAGGAATTATTAATTGGACAAAAGTGTAATTTTTAAAAGTCACCAGGCATAAGGAATAAGGCAGGGAACTATGTGTGATATATAGACACATATATATGCATGCATATGTATATAATATTATATATGTATATTACAATATACATTACAAGAACAAGGCAGTATAGCATAATGAAAAACTAGTTTCCAAGTCAGAAAAATTTGGGTTCAAGCCCTGCCTGTCACACATAACTGGCTGTGTGACCCTGGGTGAATCACTTAACCTTTCTGTGCCTCCAGGCACTAGGACCAGGAATCTGAATCTTTATTTATTTTTTTTTGGGGAGGGGTCATAGACTTCTTCAGCCATCTGGTGAAGCTCATGGCTCCTTTTTCAGAATTATGTTTTTTAATTGTATCAAATAAAATACAGAGGATGAGAAAGGAAACTAGTTCTATAAATATTTCATTAATATAATTATAAAACAATTTTAAATAAATTCACCAATTTCAGGTTAAAAGGTGCTGACCTGCACCTAAAGAAGGAGCTTCCACATCTGGGAGTTCCATAAGTAAATAGTCCCTAGGAGTCCTTAGGTCCAGTCCGTATCCTAATATTACAATTCAAAGGAATCTGGGAAGACTTACCTGAACTGAGCACAAAAAAGAAAACAGGACTGGAACACTCTACACTAACAATAATAACTATGTAAAGGAAAACAATACTCAAAAACAGCCCAGCTTAGTTTAAATGAAATAAACCATCATTTATTTCATGGAGATAATGAAACATACTCGACTCCTCTCACTGGAGGGGTGGGGGTGGACAAGGGCATAACATTGCATGTGTTGTCCAGAGGGCATTACTTTATTGGTGAGTTTTCCTCAACTGTTTTTCTTTAGGATAAGGAACCAGTGAGGGGTGTGGAGGGGGCATGAGGGAGGGGAGACCATATTAGAAAATGATTGCAGCTTAGAAAAGGAACCAATATTTTTTTTTGTTCAGATCTATAATTTTATCATTAGGGGTTTACCTTCTCTGCTAATTTAGATGCCAACTCCCGTACATTCTAAGAATGGTCTGGGCACTGATAAGTTCTGCCCAAGAACACACAGCTAGTGTTTGTTAAGACTTGACCGTAGAGCTTTACATTTCTAAAGCCAGCTCATTATCTCTCACTTTCCTTTCTCTTATTGTTCCTTCAGGGGTTCCTTCCATTTCTGAGATTTGAATACTCTGTGCATGAGTTGATCAGAATTCATTCTCCCCGGTTGTGGCCCTGGTTATGAGTGGAGGATACACTGGGCACTCCTCTCTCCTCTTCCCTCTTTATTTACACACCTTCTCCCCTAAGCACCATATGACAGATTTCATTTTCATTCCCAGAGCATCTAAAAGGGATTCTGGCAAGAAAGTTAAGTATCTTATTCTCCCTAAAGTCTGGTCTTCCAAAGGTACCTAGCCATTCTTATGTCTTACCTGCCATTTTTTGTTCCTTCCTGCCCGTATGACCTCTCTGAACCTCAGTGACCTCCAACTCCTAGGCTCCTGGGCTCCTATGAACCTTCAGGAAGGCATTCTAAACCACCAACCTGCCTCACACAGTAATCTTTCCTCTTTGCTGCTTATTGGAAGTCCAATATGAACCCTCGGCATTTATAAGCAGCCCAACAAATATTTATTAAAAAAAAAAAAGAAATGCAAAGCCTTTTGTAAATGATGAAGAACTTATTTTTCCTCTTATAAACTCCTTGAAGGCTGGGATTATGTTTTGCTTAATTTTATATCCCAGAAATTCCTAGCATAGCATCTAGCACATAGTAGGAGTCCAGTAAATGAAAGCATAGACCAGTCCAAGGGTGGGGAACCTTCAGAATCCATTGGATTCAGTTAAAGGGCTGTGCTTGAGGACCTAGAGGGCCACAGGTTCCACACTCCTGGACCAGTCCTTGCCCCTTGGGATCTCACACTCTGGTTGGGGAATCAAAAAAAATAACATGATTAGAAAATTACAGCTGGACCATGGCATAGAATCCATCCATGTGCAACAGGAGGTAGCAAGTCAGACATTGGGAGCCGGAAGTGGCCTTAGGGTCCAACCTCCCCTTCTGGGAGCTGAGGGAATTGAGGCAACTCAGAGAAATTAAATGACTCGTCCAAGGTCACACAGATAGTAAGCAACAGAGATAGGATGTGAACCCTCTGCTTCTAAATACAGCAACCTTTTCCTTGTACCACATTGCTTCGGGCTTGGATACTGGAATCGGTAGACCAGTAGTTGAGTCCAAGGTCTACCATTAACTTATTGTGTGACCCTCCTCAAGTCACTGAACCTTTCTTAAACATCTAGTTCCTCGCCTGTAAATCAAGGGGGCTGGACTCTGCTTCCTGCTCTTGTGATTCTGTGTGCGAGGGAGGTGGGGGGTGGAGTGGGGGCGGGGCGGGAGTCCCTTCCGTCTCCCACATACTATGATTCAGAGATCAACGTTGGCTGTGGTGGTCAGAGAAGGCTCCATTTTGAAGGTTGAGGAGGGGGAAAGGCCTCGTTCAATGAGCACAAGTACAGAGGTGGTAAAATTAAGTATATGCAGAAAGGGAGGGGGAAAGAGGGAAAGGGAGGAAGGGAGGAGGGAGAAAGGAGGGAGGTGGATAGATGAAAAGACCGCAATTTAAGCAGGACCATACATCCTGCTCTCTAGCCCCTCTCCCTGTCTGTCTCAGCTCCCCAGCTAGACTGGGAGCTCCCGGTGGGCAGGGATCTGTTACCACCAGAAGCTATTTTTCTTTCCTCCCCGGAACAGGACTCTAGGTGCAGAGGAGGGGCTCAGGAGATCGCTGTCATCCGGAATTGCATCCTGCACTGCCATCCTGCCAGGTCGGTCCAGCCCGAGGAGGCCAGATGTCCCAGAACGAGAAGGAGTCAGGGTGAGGCTGCCCTTCGCTTCCCATCCCCCCATCCCATCCCCTGCCTCTCCCAATTGCCAAGCCCCCCGGCTTAGCCTCCCAGCTCAGACAGAGAAGGCAGGCGCATCTCGCAGACGCCGCGTCTCTCTGCCTGCTCTGCGGGTCTGACGCCCTAGGGGGGCTCGGCTGCCTGACAACAGCATCTGTCGCCCTCTCGGTACCCATCTTGGCCACGTATCCCAGCGCTTTCCTTCCCTCTATCCTTCGGGCAGCCCCAACTCCCGGGAATCCTCCATCAGCATCAGCACCTGTCTCTTCCCTTGGTCATTTTTGGCTGGGATAGAATGTGAGCTGCATCCATCCCAACGGGTCAGGCCCCGTTCCTGAAGCCTACCTAGTGCCAGGGGCCCCTGCAGTATCCATTGGGCCAAACCTATCCTTCCTCTCTTCTCCTTCTCCTCCTCCTTTTCGCCTTCCTCCTCTTCCCCTTCTTCCCCTTCCTCCTCATCTTCCTCTTCCCCCTTTCTCCCTCCTGTTTACTTTCCTCCCCATCCTTTTTATGCCATCCTTTTCTTCCCTTCTTTCCCCTCCTTTTTCCTCTTTTCCTTCCTCCTCTTCTTCTTCCTCCTCCCCTCCTCTTTTATCCCCCTCCTCTTCTTCCCTTATCTCCCTTCTCCTCTCTTCTCTTCCTCCTTTTTCTTTCCTTTCCCTCCCCCTTTCTCCTCTTTATCTCCTTCCTTCTCCTTCTCCTTCCTTTTCCCTCTTCTCCCACCTCCTCTTCCTCCTCTTTATCTTTCTTCCCCTCCTTTTTCCTTTCCTTTTCCTCTTTCTCATCTCCCCTTCTTCTTCATCTTCCCCCTCTTCCTTTCCTTTCCCTCCTTTTCCCATCTCCCCTTTCTCCTCTTTATCTCCCTCTCCTCCTCCCGTCTCCCTCCTCTCATCTCTCTTCCCTCTTCTTCACTCCCTCCCCCTCCCGTCTCCCTTTCCTCCTCTTCTCTCCCTTCCTCCCCCTCCTTCCCTGTCCCTTTCCTCCCTCCCTCCCTCCTCCCTCCCTGCCCTCCCGCCCCCCCCCCCCGCCCCGCTTCTTCGCTGCGATGTTCTAAAGCGCCAGCCTCCCGGGTAGGCGGGCTAGCGGGGTGCTCCTCCCAGATGCCGGGCTCCCCCAATGCACATCTCGCGCTGCCTCCTTCTGACCCTCTCCGCCCTGCTGCTTCCAGGTCACCCGCTGAGAATCGAAACCGTGAGGAGCTTTCCATGCCTGCGGAGCCCGCCACCTCCACTGGGCCCAGCCAGATGGCGGACCCACCTCCGCCTTCGTCGCCTCCCCCCCCCATCCTGGTGTCGGTGGCCACGGCTTCCACCTGGTCCTTCCCCGCCGACCCGGTGACTCCCAGCCAGCCCGAAGCCAGCACCAGCGGCGGCACCAAAGCCCGCGCCGGCTCCATGGAGGTGAGGGCGGGGGCAGGGACCTGGGGCCAGGTAACTTACCTGGAGGGTGGGGACCTGGGAGGCAAGAAGGGAAGGAATTCGCCTTGATGAAGCACCTACTATATACCAGGCGCTTTACAGAGAGCATGGCATTTAACCACGCTAATGATGATAGCTAGCGTTTGTATAGCATCTGTTGTGGGCCAGGCCCTGTGCTAAGGACTTTACGAATATTGGCTTATTTAATGGTAAGAATAAAAATACCCAGCATGCCTATGGCATCTGCTGTGTCCCAGGCACTGTACTGAATGCTCTGCAAATATCTCAGTTGAGCTTCACAACCACTGTAGGAGGTAGAAGGTATTATTAGCACCCCCTTTTTACTGATAAGGCAACTGAGGCAGACAGAGTTAAGTGACTTGCCCTAGGTCACTCAGCTAGTCCAAGGATTTGAACTAACAACAACAATAACATGTATGTAACAGTTACTGTGTGCCAGATACTGTACTAAGTGCTTTACAGTTATTATTTCATATAGTAGTAATCACTAGCATTTAAATAATATCTATTATGTGCCAAGAGTTATACTAAGTGCTTTACAATTATTATCTCATTTGTTTCACCCTGGAAAAAGCCCTGGGAGGTAGGTGCTATTATCATCCCCACTTTAGAGATGAGAAAACTGAGGCAAACAGCTGAAGTCACTTACCCAGGGTCATACAGCTAGTAGGTGTCCAAGGTAGAATTTGAACTCAAGTCTTCCTGACTCCATGGGCAACCAGGTGGTACAGTGGATAGAGTGCTGGGATGGAGTCAGGAAAACTCATCTTTCTGAGTTCAAATCTGGCCTAAGTCACTTCACCCTGTTTGCCTCAGTTTCCTCATCTGTAAAATGAGCTGGAGAATGAAATGGCAAGCCACTCCCATATCTCTGCCAAGAGAAACTCAGATGGGGTCACGACAGTCAGACAGGACTGAAAAGTGACTAAACAACTTCTGGACTCCAAGTCTGGTGCTCTCTGTTCACCTCCCTAGCTGCTTTTAGGAACTAGGAAGGGAAGAGCCCTGGTCTAAGGCTTAGGGAATGGTAAGATCATCGATGCAGGACTGGAAGGAACTTCCGAGTCCTGCCAATTAAAACCACTTTATTTTACCCCTGAAGAAAACTCGTCCTGGAGAGGTTAAGGGACTTGCCCAATTGGGCTCACAGAAGTGAGCAGCAGAGGTAAGATTTGAACCCAGGCCTTCTGACTTTGGAGTCTGTTCTCCCTTAACTGGCCCAGGAGATCCGAGTTTTCATCTTGAATCTGTCCTGTCCTAGCTTTGTGACCTTGGGACTCAGTTTCTCTCTCTGTCAAATGAGGGGGCTGGAGTTGGACTTGATCTCTAAAAGAGCCTAGAAATTTTTCTGTAAATTTAGTAAGGCATCCAGGTTACTTTATGGCAGGGACTGGAGGTTAGGTCCCAGTACCAATCAGTTATCAAACTATGTTTCAGGCACTGGATGTAGAAATGGAACACAGCCCCAGCTCTCTGAGCTTACGTTATGGGGGGAACAAACTAGAGAAAACATACATCTATATAGGCATATACCAAACAGGTACAAGGTACCTCAGTGGGGAAGGTACCAGGAGCCTTGGGGACCCCAGGACTTGAGCTGAATCTTGAAGGAAGCCAGGAATTACAAGAAGTATGAATGAGGAAGGAATGCATTCTGATATTGGGGAGAGACCATGCAAAGACACTGAGGTAGGAGATGAGCCTTAGGTGTGAGGAACAGCCAGGCCAGTTTGGCTATTACTGTAGAGTGTGTGGGTTGGTAATAATGTATAATGAGGCAGGAAAGATAGGAGCCAGCTAGCAGAGAGCTTTAAATGCTAAATAGAGACTTATATTTTATCCTGGAAGTAATAGGAACCCTCTAGGGTTTTTTTTTTAGTTGGGGGTGAGGAGAGGAATCAATTTGAGAAGGGAGACATTTGAGGCATGCAGATCAATTAGGATGCTATAGCAGTGACCCAGGTTAGAGGTGATGAGGCCTGCCCTAGCGTGGTGATGATTGTGTAAGTGGAGAGAAAGGGAGAAATATTCAGGAAGTAGAAAGGGCAAGATTGGTTAACTATTTATTTATGGTGGTGAGTGGGTGAGAGTGAGGAAGGCACCAAAGTCGTGAGCTTGGAAGGATAGTGATATACTCCACAAAAAACCAGGGAAGGCCAGAAGAAGGATGGATTGTGGGGGGAAAGATGTTTTCTGCTTTAGACACATTGAGTTTGAGATGCCGATGGGACATCCACTTAGAAATGTCTGGATGTGACTTTACCTCAGGAGAGAGCCTGGAGCTGGCTAGCTGAATAAATCTGAATAAATGGGATAATTGAACATGTAGAAACAAGAGAGAGTGTGAAGAGAGAAGAAGGCCCAGGATAGAGCCCGGGGGTGGGGGACATCCACATTTAGGACCAGGATTCATGAGGCTCATAGTCCAGCAAAGGAGGCTGAGAAGAAATGGTCAGAGAAGTAGGGGAAGAGAAAGGAGAGGGAGACAGAGCCATGAGGGAGACAAACAGACAGGAGAAGAGACCGGGGGTGGGGGGTGGAGAGAAGAGGGGAGAAGAGGTAAAGAAGAGAGAGACAGAAACACAGAGACAAGAGACAGAGAGAGGGGAAACATTAGGGGAGGGAAGGGGAAAGAGCAGTATTGGGAACACCCAGAGAGTATAGAGAATTGAGGAAGAAAACATGATCGAGGGTATCAGATGCTTTCCTGAGGTCAAGAGGAATGAAAATCAAGAAAAGGCCGTTAGATTTAGCAATAAACCTAACCTCTGTATTTTCCCCCACCCCCATACTCACTGCATTGACAGTGTGGATACATTTCTACTACTGTTATTTCTCAAGAGAAATTACAGGCTCTCAGTATATTAGATCTGGAAGGCAAATCATCTAATTCAACCCCTTCATTTTCCAACTTGGGAAACTTGAGTCTGAGGGAAGTTAAATGGTCTGTCCAAGGTCACACAACTCGTAAGTGTCAGAGGGACAGCAAGGTACTGGTAAATGTTTAACAACAAGCTCTCCCCCTCCCCAACCTACACACAACAGACTTTTAAGTTTAATATGCATTATTAACATTTTCTCCATCACTTTCTGAAGTCTAGAACAGGGGTGGGGACTCTAGGCCACAGGTTCCCCATCCCTGGTCTAGACAGTCAACCAAACAACACATGTAGCCCTGATCTGTAGCATTTGCTGAATTTTTAAGTCTAGAAAATCAAACAATAAATCAAGCCCCAATTTGTAGCACTTCCTGATTTTTAAGTCTAAAAATAATCGAACAACAGATCAGCATTTCCTGATTTCTACAGCATAAATGTTCACACTGAAAATTTAACAGCTGGCTCACTAGAGTTGGTTTGAGCTGCCTCCAGACTGGATTCCTAGTCCCATGTTCTTTACAGTGTTCCTTATCAGGACGTGAAAGGACTACCCACGAATTCCCTTCAGGAGTGTATAGAGTTAATTTCTAAAACATTCTGCCTAGTTGCTCTCCATCTCTCAAATAAAAGGAGAGAAGCATAAATTGTACAGTAGGAACAGTTTAAGTTAGCTATAACCAATGATCCCAGCATTCTAGATTTAGGGGTAAAGGGGGGGAAGGGAAAGGAATAAGTATCTATGAATTGCCTCCTTGGACCAGGCACTGTGCTAAGATCTTTGCACATATTATCTCGTTTGATGATAGCTCTGGAAGGGACCAATCCCCTGGTTTCGTGAAGGAGGAAATGGGCCAAGGTAGGTGAGGAGACTCAATTCAGGCCATACAAGGAGTAAGAGAGTTACAGTTTGAGCCTGGGTCCTCTCGCTTCAAATTCAGCCATCTTTCCTATGGAATCTCCTTGGTTGCATCTCTCAGGGGTACTGAAAATAGAAACCATCAGGTGGTAAAGACTGATGGCTGTGAGTGAGAAGGCCTGGGTTCCAATCCCACCTCTGACCTTGGACAAACCACTTTTCCTCTTGGTTCTCCATTTCCCTCTCTCTACAATGAGGGGGTTGGACTACCTTGCCTTGGCAGTCCTGTGATCCTTATGAGCTCCCCATCTAGTCCTGCCTGGTTGAGGGTGTGACCCTGGGGCTTGGGGAGCGCATGGCCTCTGGCGTCTCTTATGGCTCTTTGATGTTCTCCCCATCTAGGCCATAAGCGAGGAGTTTTGCTTCCTGCTATGTCACAGCTGTAAATCAGAATCCAAATGTCCCAAACTCTTATCCTGCTTACACACCATCTGCTCTAAGTGCTTGGAGAGCCACGAGCCGACCGGGCAGTGCCCTGTCTGCCAGGACTCCCACACCCAAGAGACCAATCTGCACTCCATGGACAACCTCTTCTTCGAGAGCCTGCAGCGACGGATTTCTGTCTACCAAAACATCATCCAGGGTGGGTCCGGAGCCTCTTGTAACCGCTGCAGGGAACCCGCTGATTTCTGGTGTTTCGAGTGTGAGCAGCTTATCTGTACCAGGTGCTTCGAAGCCCACCAGTGGTTTGTGAAGCATGAGGCGAGGGCCGTGGAGGAGCTGAGAAAAGAATCTGCCAAGGATTTCCTAGACGGCACACGTAAATCCAACAACCTCTTCTGCCCCAACCCTACCCATCGGACTCCATCCCTTACCAGGTAAGCTCCCAAGGATTCCAAGGTCAGGAGCCAAGCCACAACTCATGGGCTCACAGATAGTTAGAGCTGGGTTTTAGAGATGGAGAGGACCTCGGGAGCTACTTACTCCAAGCCTCTCATTTTACACATGAGGAAACTGAGTCCTAGAGAGATTAGGAGACTTATGTGAATGAGACATGTTATCCACCTCCAGGAAAATGAACTGATGGACTCAGAGGCCTTATGGAACCTAATTTTCTTCTATTTCTTTCTTTTTCTTGGAACATGACTAATAAGGAAATTTGTTTTGCATGTCTGTACATATTTGTAATGGTTATTATTTTTCTTGCCTTTTCAGTGGGGGAAAGGGAAGAGAGAAAATTTGAAACTGAAAATGAAGTATTGAATTAAAGCTGAGAGAGTGAGAGAGAGAGAAGGAGAGAGAGAGAGACAGAGAGAGAGAGATATTTATTTGATGTCTGGCTGACCTTGGAAAGCTATCTGAGGTCCCAACAGAGGAGTACCCTCAAAACGAGGAAAACATAGCTTCCCTCTGCCTGCCCAACCACAGTGATTATTATTTGAATTGGTGAGAAAAGACAAGATAACAAATTAACTTGGAATTTTGGGAAAAGAATCCCAGATGATAGGCTCATAGATTTAGGGCTGAAAAAGAGCTTTTGCTTGATCTAGCACATCTCTCTCATTTTACAGTTGAGGAGACTGAGGCCCAGAGAAGGGAAGAAACTTGAGCCAAGGTCATACAAGGTCAGAGTTTCCAGTTCTGCCTCTGACACTTACTACTGGCGTGACCTTGGGCAAATCTCTTCCCTTCCCTGGGTCTTGGTTTCCTCAAAGGAGGGGATTGGACTAGGTGTACTCTGAAGTCCTTATTGTCAATCACTGCTCTTATGACTCCTCCCCAGCGTCATCTGTGCCCACATGTATAGAGTCTCCACCCTCCAATGAGAGACAGCTGGTTTTGTAGAAAGCCTGGACATGAGGACAGAAGGATCTAGGTCTGAAATCCAGCTCTGCCATTGGGGCAGATCCCATAGCTTCTCTGATCCTCAGTTTCTCCCTCTGTAAAAAGAGGAGATTGCAAAGGGTGGTCACTAAGGTCTCTACTATGCTATTTGGAAATCTTGTGTGACCACTAAGTCACTTCTCTGAGCTTCAGTTTCCCCAGATGTTTATAAAATGAGGGAGTTATACTGCTCTCCTCCTTGCCCCTAGGTCCTTTCCAGCTTCAGAGCTAAGGTCAATCCCGCTACTGTTCCCGCAATTACAAGTAGCCTCCATGGTAGGTGAGACCCCAGAACGACCTGCATAGACTTCATCTCATCCAACCCCTTTGTTTAACAGGAGGCAGTGGAAGGTCAAGTGAGAAGAAAGTGGCCCAAGACCACTCAGTGAATTCCTAAAAATCCCTTTCACCTGAATAGTGTCTATGCTTTTAGAATGCTTGGAGGGGAAGTAGCTAGGTGTGATCATTGTTATTTTAAAAATAAAAATGACGTTGTTTTCATTAGTTGACCAACACATTCCGTGCACTGTGTCCCACACAGGTACTGTAAAAACAAAAATCTGTTACTTCTCTTGTGTGGACACACCCCAAAGCCACACATGCCCCACCTCAGTTGTAAATAAATGGTGGACCACATACCTGGTCCAGTGTTGCTCCCCTTGGGAATGAGAGCGGAGCTAGGCTGGGCTTTCCCGGAGGGCCTGTGTACTGCTAATTTGATATTTGCCTTTCATGATAATTTCACTTACAGCCAGACAGAATAAGGAGGCAAATATGTTTGATTTGGAGTTTAAGGACCTGGATTCAAATACCAACCTTGACAGCTTTCTACCTGGGTGAACTTGGATTAATTACTTAAATTCTCTGGGCCTCAGTTTCCAAAACGAATGGGGTTGGATTAGGTGGCCCCTGAAATCTCGTCTCTCTCAAGATCTGTGACCTTATTTATGAGACTGAGCTGGTTTTTGCTTTTCTTTGTATCCCCAATACTTAGCGCTATATTTGGAACACAGTAAGGGCCTAATGAATGCTTGTTGACTTGAGAGACTTATCTGAGGTCACACTTGGGAAACAAGGAATGGAGTGAGGCCGTCAGAGTATGCTTAGTAGCCCACTACCTCTGTCTTCTTCCTGGGCAACAGGTGTTGACACACAAGTTTCAACAATCATTTTGGTCATCTTTTGTTCTTATCACTATAGGATTTAGCCAAATGTCTCAGGAAGGGGTTCTTTCCTGAAACTTTTGGATATATTATACAATCAACTCCTTCATCTGCCTCTATAGGGAGAACCACGCTTCTGTTGTCTGTTCCATATCAGCTCTTTGAAGTCAGGGATATGTTATGATATGAAGGATATACAGTTAGCATCCCCCACTGGTGGTCTTTGTGCTATAAATTCTCCCGCTATAGCTATCTCCTCTAAATCTCCAGGAGTACTCCTATGTAAATACTAATGCCCCAGAGTAGATCTAGGGAAACAGATAGTAGAGTATGACAGCCCCTGTCCTCAAGGATCTCACATAGAACTCTCATGTAACAAAAAACAGTCAAGTGATACAACACCCACGTTGAAGGTCTGTGTAAGACTCTACACCTACAGTTCGGCCGTCACCTCTTTACCCCTTCGTCATCGTTCAGTCCTTTTCCACAAGAGTGGTCATTGCATTTGATCTGAAATTGGATACTTCCGATTGTTTTTTCATGATGAAAATAATCTTTTGATATTTCATCCTCTTGTCTCTTTCTCTTTGTACTTCCTGTAACATCTCCCCATGTTTCTAAGATGTTTGTTGTTTCATGCAGCACAATAATATTTTACTACATTCATACACCACAATTTGTGTAGCCATCCTCCAGGTGATGGGCACTCACTTTGTTCCCAGTTCTTTACTCTTGCAAAAAGAAGACAGTATTGCTATGAATACTTTGGTGTGTCTGGGGCCTTCCTTTCTGTCAGTCTCTTTGTGTTCTGTACACAGTAATGGGCTCACTAGGTCAAAGGGTATAAATAGTTTCGTAATCTTTCTCCCATATTTCCAAATCATTTTCTAGAACAGTAGAAACCAACTCACAGCTTATTCATTTGGTGTGTTAGGGTGCCTGACTTCCCACAGACCCAACAGTGTTGACTTTTTCCGTATAATTTTTGCCAGTTTGATGAGGTGAAACCTCAGAGTGGCTTTAAATTTCCCTAACAAAAGTGTTTTGGAGAATTTTTTTCCCATAGGGTTGCTGATAGCTTTGCCTTCATGTGAAAACTGATACTTTGACGATTTATCTTTTGAGAAATACCTCTTATTCATGTGTGGATGTATTTGTGTCAATTCTTTATACAGTTTTAATAGTATACTTTATGAAAATAACTCAATGCAGAGATTTCCCCCCTGCTAGATGGTTTCTTTTAGTTGCATTGCTTTCATTCATGTAACATCTTTTTAATTTTATATGATCAAGATTGTTTATTCAGTCTTTTGGAGTCTTCATTATTCATTGGTTATGAATTCTTCTCATAACCAGAGATTTGAAAGGCACCTCCTTCTGCCCTCTCATTTTTTTTTTAACGATATGACTTTTTACACTTAATTCACTTTCTGTTTGGAGTTGATGATGATGATGATACATGTTGTAAGATTCTGTCTAACCCTACTTTACACCAAACTGCCTTCTGGTTTTCCCAGCGGTCTTTTCAATAGAGGGCTTTCCCCCACTAGTTTGTGTTTGCGTTTCACAGAATCATAGAACTTGAGAGTCAGAAGGGGTCTCAGGAACTAGTGGAGTGGAGATCCCCACCTCTCAAGGAGTCCCATTCTACTTGCGGAGTTCTCATTCTTAGAAAGTTTGTTTTCCCTCAAGAATCAAACCTAAATTTGCCTCTTGGAACTTGTATTCTGTGCTCAGGGGCCACAAGTTGACTTCATTAAACGTTAAGCTAGTATATTCACTTTCTTCTAGGTCATACTTCTCTAATCTGTTTTACACAATGTACTTTTCTCGTCTGTTTCATTTAAATATACTTTTCTGTTCTGTGACCAGTACCAAAACTTTTTGATGATGATTTTTTTGGGGGTAATATAGTTTGAGATCTGGTAATACTTGACCTCCTTCAGCAGAGGGTTTTAACCTGGGGTTGGTAAACTTGCTGGTTTTTAAAAAATATTTTCATAGCCATATTTTATCATAATTGGTTTCCTTTGTAATCCGATGTATTTTATTTTGTATATATAAAAACATTATTCTGAGAAGAGGTCCATAGGCTTCACCAGACTGCCAGAGGGGTCCAGGACACAGAAAAGGTGAGAGACTGTACTTTAGTGGATAAAATCTCTGCCTTGGAGTCAGGAAAACCTGGGTAGGCTGGAAGCTTCTTGAGGGCAGGCACTATCTTTTGCCTTTCTTTGTATCTCCAGCACTTAGCAAAGTGCTCGGTACTGGTAGGTACTTAATAATTGCTTGTTGCCTGACTTACTAATGATATGAATAGGGGCATGCCACTTTTCTCTGAATCCGTTTCCTCATCTCTAATTCCCATTCTTAAAAACCACAGAATTAAAAGCACAACAAAAGAGAGTAATGAAACCCATAAAATCCAGCCGTCAGCTGATGGAGAACTAACTAAAGGTGGGGAAACCAGCTCAGTCTGGTTTTATCTGATGTCATCTATTCAAAGTCACCCTGGAGTCCACAGAAGTGTGCACCCTTGACCATTGTTATCGTATATGAAACCGTATCCCAAAAGAATCCTTGTCCCAAGTAATTTGCATGACACTATTCCTTGGAGCAGGAACCCCTCCCCTCTATGGTATCCCCACCCAATAGTGACCTAGGACCTCCTTAAAGTCCTCCGCTATAAGGAAACGCTTTCCCCTAGATTCTGTTGTTGGGACATTGTTAGGAAATTCTCAAGCCTCATCCTTCTGGATCTCTCTGCAGCACTTGGTCACCTTCTCCTCCTCGACATTCTCTCCTCTGCAGAATTCCATGACATAATTCTC